TGCCCGCTGCTGTGCCCGCTGCTCTGCCCGCTGCTCTGCCCGCTGCTCTGCCCGCTGCCCTGCCCGCTGCCCTGCCCGCTGCCCTGCCCGCTGCTCTGCCCGCTGCCGTGCCCGCTGCTCTGCCCGCTGCTCTGCCCGCTGCTCTGCCCGCCGCGCGCCGCGTCGGCACCGGCCCAGCCCGACGTCGCGGACAGGCGGCAGCGCTGCTCCCGGGACCCCCCACTGCAGCTGGGGGCAGCTCCCATCGGGGTCCTCACCTTTGTGCGCTGCGGCCGCTCCCCGAGTGCGCCTCCACCGGCCTCGGGGACTTGTTGCTCCGTATTTCTCAGACGGGTCCAGCGCTCGGCTCTTCCCCCTCGGCTCCTGCAGCGTGGGGCGTGAGGCATCCCTGCGGCGAGACCCAGACAAGCCAGCTGCTGCTTCTCCGGCGTGGCCTGTCCAGACCACTCCTGAGATCCACCTTTGTCTCACAGGCTTCTTGGCACGGTTGCATGCTGCAAAGTCTCTGCCGCTTCTCGCACTGCTCGGCTGTTTGTTCTCCATCCTCCTTTTAGTCTCTCCTGGATAAGCCCAGGTATCTCCCTTGCCCTGCCTGGTTCCTCCCTCAGAAGAGCATTTTCCTCACTCAGGTATCCCTTGAACCTCACCCCTCACATAGGACAATGGCAGCATTCTGCGTCCCCATTGCCTTTGTGGGTTATTAGGGCATTGGTGCACATCTGGTGCTCCTCAGCCTCCGTGCTGCATTAAAAACCCAATGTGATCTCATTTTTATTGTGAAAGTCTCCTTGAGGGCAGCGCTGCCCTGGCCAAAACCACCTGTCCATACGACTTCATCTTCCCTGTCTGTGGGCAGATGAACTGCATTGTGCTTGATCTCCCTCCGTGGCTCCTCCGTAGCCGAGCCCAACATGTTCCCTCCCCCCAAGAGACTCAGACAAACTGTCCCAGAGAGTGGCCACTTCTGAATCCAAGAAATTCTACCTCTAAGACTTCTCCGGTTGCAACTGGCTCATATGGAAAGGAAGATGTCTTATTACCAACTCATTCCCTGCTGCCTCTGAGCACTGTGCTTGCTCCGGAGCCATGAAGGATGCTTGTCTTTCTGCATAGGCATGTGCCCATGTGGACCCAACTCTGTGGGCTGCTCTGCCCAGATCCGAGAGGATTTGTCTGGCCAAATGTGGCCACCTTCTCCTATACTTAATATTTCTCCTGACTGTACCAGAGATGGACAGTAGGGTCTGTTTTACTAACCATCTCAGATTGCTGTGGGCTTTTTCCAATATTAGGAAAGAGAAAGATGATTTGTGTCAAAAGGAGTCATCAAAAACCGTCTATAATGCAGTTTGTGCTCACATCCTGTC